AAGATGTCGAGTAGTGAATACATTTGTGCTATTGCCATCGATTTGCAGCCATGTCACCAAAAGTCCTCAACCGCTGATTTCTGTTGTCTTGGGGACCCCCGACGAGGCAGTCTACATGTCCCAACACGGCTCAGATCATCAGTTAGGGATATCATAGACTGGTGTGATGACTTCGTCTGGCCACTCTGAACCTCTTCTCAACATAATCCAACTTCTCCTAGCATGGCACATAGAAATAGGCGGTGGATCATCATGTGAAACACATGTCAAAGCCATCTCAGTCGACTGACGTTCGCAACCTCATGAATCAACTTGCTTGTCTTGCAGCCTACTATCCTTCGCCTGACTGACCTCAACATTGCTCACACGATGATTCTTCCACCAAACGTGAGCAATGCTGTGAAGACACCTATCAGCAAAACCCTGAAGTCCCTTCATACCTACTTTCAACGACTGTCTCAGCTGTATAACCGGAGAGGACGGACTGTAGCTCAGTATATTCATCTTTTGATAGATAGTCGCAACGACACGAAAAATTCGCTTTGCGTGAAATGGTGTAAAGGCAGTCATAGTTGTTTAAATTTTTTTAATATGCTGCGTATAATAAGTATCCATGCTTCTCTCTTCGTTTTCTGTACCTAGTCAATTTCCTTACATTACTAAGCACTTGAATACTGTTGAGTAGTAATGTTTTTCTCCACTCTCGATTACAGTGACATGATACAGAAAGATAGCATACTTAAGAGGACCATTGAGTTTACCAGAGGCTATGACAAAACTAGCAAGATGTGAACCAGTTTGTCACAGAGTTCTAAAAGTCTTATGAGTCATAAAATAGTTCGGATAAAATCAGTTTTCTTGCTAGGTCTTGACTGATAAGTACATAAACACATGAAAAACCAGAAGAAAGTTTGGCTTCTTAAACTAGACATTTTAACACATCCGTATAAATGTACACTAATACTCCTTATAAAATCAAAAGAGATTACTAGAGACAGAAAAAGATATTCCCATTTACTATCTGAATCATTGATGTATAAATTTGATTCTTTTTTATTCCCAACACACTAAACGTTTTCTTGGCGTTGGAATAGCTACATAACACATGTTAATTGCTTAGTTTTCATATAAGACCGGTGGTCAATGAATCGAAAATGACTTACACAAGCTTAAATAGTTGAGTAATCAAGTAGGCTTATTTAATATATGTAAACAATCAGCTATGACGATAAATTTTATTATGATCACAGAGCTTAGTGCAAGTTCCACGATAGTAGTTCCCATAAAAAAAAGTATTCGTCGCTTTTCATTGGTCAAATAGTAATCGATTATTCCGATTATCAAACAATTAAGTCATTTACTCTCTTTTCAAATTCTGTTTGAAGCATAGAGGGGTGTTTCTTGATAGCGATTGTTTGTGTTGTACACACAGTCTTCAACCACTTGATATCTATTTGATATAGCCAGTAATATAGTGAAATAAGATTTCATCTTAGTTTGCGTATTAGAAATGTTAAACAGTGAAGCAACAGTATCATTTACTGTCCAGAGTCATATCAGGTAACTTACTCCACACCTTTGAGAAATAGTTTACAAAGTCCTACTTTTCTCACCTTCTTTGAGATGACAAGGGTAGTAGAATTTTCCATATATCTGGGATAGGTGAAGAATGATTCCTATTACCGAATGTATTTCATGTTGATTCGATAAACAAAGATTCGATTATCAATCTCTTTCTCCACCCAAGTTTTTAATACTGCCACTCTGTTGTTCCACCCTACTGTGTGATTGTGTGTAATTGCATGCAGAGCTATAGCTGACCTTTCCTCTGAATTTCTTGTTGTATTAGTATCTACTAAACTTGATTTCGCTAAGTTTTTGTGCTCTGTTATTCTAATTGGCCCTGGTCGACTACTTTGACCTCACAACCATTGTAAGGGATTTGGTGAAACCTTTCGTATGTTACTATACAAGGGAGGCATCTCAGAAGCATTACGAAAATTTTTGAATAAGGCTGACAGGGATTAAAGTGGCATTTAAACCAACAAACTCCCTTGGAAATAAGCTTTGTAGGTTACAGTATCCTGTTCATGCAATTCAGCAAAATAATCTGATTTACCAAATCCCTTGCAATGTTTGCCAGCTTAAATACATAGATCAGAGTAGTCAATTAGAATAACCGAGCACGAAAACCTAACTAAATCTAAATTAGTAGATCCTAATACAATAAGAAATCTAGAGGAAAGCTCGACCATAGCTCTGCACGCAATTACACACAGTCATGCAATAGGGTGGGATAGGGCGATAGTATCAAAAACTAACTTAGTCGGGTGAAGTGACAGAGTGATAACCGAATCTTTGCTCATTGAATCAACACCAAATACGTGCAACAGAAATGACTCAGCACCTGCCTCAGATATATTGAAAATTCTATTACCCTTTTCTTCACAGAGAAGAAGAGGACTATATAAACTCTGTCTCAAAGTTATAGAGTTACCTGATTTGAATGTGGACCATAACAAATTATTGATCAATCTATTACAGTAACCAGGTTTGGTGCTGCTACGTAGCAACAAAAGGCAGCCAATAGGGGAGTTGTTTTCAAGTCATGATCAGATCATGTTTAGGTCATGATTTGTGCATACGATGACATGAGGACCTGATTGGAGAAATTCGACCTCACACAAGAAATCGGATTGGTTCATTTATGGCTTCACTTTCTGAGAGTTTTGTGACTACATATATGTCATGTATTTGCCTAATAAAAGTGGTTGTCGCTGTTCTTGCAGTCGCAGGCCGTCTTTATCTTCTGATTTTTCCGCGGCTTAGTGAAGCAGAAGGTACTGAGGGAGGTCAGTCGTAAAGGTATTCGGTTGAGGTGTCTATTGAGTCTCAGCATTCATTATACCCACGTACGCAACCACCACTCGGTCAAAACAGATGGTACTAGAAACTTGCAACTATCCACAATGTGATGAATCATTCCTATTGCACATGTTAGGCGTTAGTTCAACAAACAAAGACTCCGTAAGCAATCTCTCCCGTCGACTAGCTTTAAAATTGACACTGTTCCATCCTAAAGGACGATTAAAAGTCAGTGCATGCATAGTGATGGTCCACCTTTTCTTTACACTACTTATCTTAGTAAAGTTCACCGGAATGGAGGCATCCATGCAGTTGCGCAGAGGATGAGACTATATACTATTTTGGTCTTTCTGAAAACCAACGGATATTTATCCCCATGAATAGAGAATATATCGTTCGGAGAATTCCAAGCAATAGGTTACATGCATAAAATAATTCTATCTACTGCAACCTGGTAGTAATTGCTAACCTTTACGTGTACAATTTAATTATCATTATCATTATTACTATTAGAACACAAACGTGGTACAGCAAGGGCACCAAGAAATGCGCCAAACAAAATAGTATAACAACATTGAAGACATAAACGATGGGAAATTGATCAGGATAACAATAAAAATAGCATGATTAGAAGGGTAGTCCAGTAAGACAGATTCAAAACAAAACATTCGTCACTTTTCAGCAGCAGAAGATAGATGGAAGCTACACCATAACACCCACTGCCTTCGATTCTGAGCAATATCTGATAACGTCTCAAACCACTGAGTTGCGTTTCCTCTCAGGCCCCACCCAGAGAGTCGTGATGCACCAGCAGATGCTGCTAACCAAATACAACTATCTTTCATATCACGGCGCCACGTCATACTGATCACCCCCAACCAGCTTCTTCCATCCAGTCCCAGGGTTATCAAACAATGAACGACGTGGAGACCGTTGCGACGACATGTATTACACATGTCCAAGTCACTGAAGCCGGTGTTTCCAGATGACTACACTTACTGAATGATGATGTCCATCATGCCCAAACACACGCTGTCGTACCTCACAATTACGTGGTGTTGCGACTGGATACGATGGTCGAAAACAGTCATCGTATATCCTCAGCTCAGAGGGGCCAAATTGTAAAGGCATAGAGCGGAACTGCTCAAACCGAAGCGTTGTAAGCCCGGTCTTTTACGGTCTGACCAACATCGCAATGGAGGCAAAGGTGACCCAGATTGAAGTATGTCACTCTCGCTTTCGATATGTGGTTGGAAATTTCACCACTCACACTTCCACCAGCACTCACACAACTACCCAGACACACGAACGTTTTGACTACTTCCAACAGCTCACTATTGAGGGTGAGCGCAGGCACAGGTTCCTGTCAATCTTGCAAAAGTACCTTTCACTTTAGCGGTGCACGGCACATATCATATTCACGGACACTAATCGCGACTTGGCCGGCCTGTCTATTATCGCACAGTAAGACAGTATCATCCGCATATTCAGGGTCGAACAGCCGTTCTACAGGTATTAGATCTACACCATGACGCACCTCCTTCAGAGCTGTCTCAAGAATGTCATCGATGGCAAAGTAAAAGAGGAATGGAGTAATTGGGTAACTTAATAGTCGTGTACAGATTCATTCAGTGGGCTAATTGCCACATGTATTGTATAGGTACCAATAGTATTGTATGAACGCACAAAAACCATTTACATGAAACCGGGTCGATTGACAGTCAGTAAAAGACGAGTCTCACCAACAACATACGTAGTTTAGTGTACAAGATGAAGAACTGTACTTATTGTCTAGAAGCTTACGATACTCTTCAGTCGCCTAGATCAAAGTTATGTGGAATATGAGATGAACCGATTGCTTAAAAGTCGAGTCTATTAACCAATAGGTTACATTTTCTTATCGATAAAAACTAAACAATAAGAGGCTAAGCTCAAGCATTTTTGCCTTTAAGTAACAACAGGATTCAAGCTATCAACCGTCAAGTGGCATATATCAGTAGGGTTAAACTGGTGACAAGAAGGTTGGAAACCTGCTACAGAAAAAGTTTTCTCGGGACTTAAATCATCCCAAAGTTCAATAAATATCAATCTATCAAGATAAAGTCACTTTAATCACATCAAGAATATAGACTTACATTGTGAGGATGGTTTTTATTCAACAATACATCAGACACTGTTGAATCATGTTCAGAGTCTTGATTAGGATGTGTTTTTGTTGAATTTGTTTTCGTTGTCAAGCTCCGACTACTTTCAGTAAAAGTATTATTGATATTAAGTGAAGACGGTATGGGAATACGTGATTTAAGATTTGAAGAATTCAATTGACTTTTTGCAGAACTTGACAATACACTAGATGATAATACAGAATGTGATGATGTTACTGAAGCATCGATTTTTGATGTTTGTACAACACTGCTAACAGGTTTATTCGATTTGGATGGGATAAAAAATGAATTAGTCTTGTTTAATACTGATTGGGAATGCTGAAAAGATTCACCACTAGACAATCCACCATTATATGAAAGACGGCTAACATCATGATCATGAGATGATGAAGAGAATTTGACAGATTCACTTAATGTTACAGTAACTGTTAAGTCACTTTGAGATTCAGAGATTAATGCAGTATTGCCACTACTCCCGTTGCCGTCGCCGCCGCCGCCGCCATTACACGTTAAACCATCAACACAGCATATTGATGAGGATGAAGATGAAGTACTTTCATCCATGAATTTCAAATCACTTGAACTACTGTTTCGATTATTATTATTATTATTATTATTCGATGGTGATAAGGGAGATGTATTAGAGGATGAACGGTCAGTAGTTAACAGTATAGGGCATTCATGATTATCATTTGCTGTTTCAGATGGTACTGAATGAGAATATACTTTTAAAGAATCCTTTTTAAACAATCGATGATGATTATTATTGGAACAAGTGAATTCTGTTTCCATGCTAACAAAAAAAAATAATCATTTAAAGAGGATTAATAAATGACAGAATCAAAATAAAGCATGAAATGAAAACAAACAAACAAATGCAACTCAGCTAGTATTTACATGTTCATGCAATAGGCAATACATATAGTATGAGTGCTAATGATAATAATATCTGCTTGCCTAAATCTTAGTAGATGGAGTTGTTGAAGTTTGGGCCTATGATCCATTTGTTGAAAACTAAACAACTAATTCAATGTGTTACAGTCATCTATAAAAATTATATCAGAAAAATAATATGTATAGTAATGATGGGTAGTAGGGTAGCAGTGGAATCCAGGATGCGCATTTCGTCCTGCGCATCCTGGATTCCACTACCCATCATTACCATACATAATTAAAACACAGGCAATATCGAGGCATCCACACAGGAGCCCACATGCCAACAGAGACTCATCAATTCGGTCCAATCAATGACGGTGTAATACGAGCAATAACAGAAAAAAAATAGTTTCACTGGGTAATTATTAAAATGTGATTAGTAAACTTTCCTATTGTTATGAATCATTAATATATTAAGTTCAGTATAACTATCTAAAGTATGATAAATGAACTCCATTCACGCCTGGAATACATGACTACACACACACACACACACACACACACACAAGCTGGATTTTTGCAAGTTGAGTATAAAACAAACTGTTCGATCACCAAAAGAGTAGATGGAATATTCATTAAAAACTAGTTTCATCCACGCAACTGGAATACACTATTATGCTTTTCTAAAAGTAAACATTCTATTAAATCACTCAAAGAATGTGATACTAATATCAGGCACAAGGGTCTTAATCACTAGATTGTTAGTTCAAACTAATATCAACTGTACCGATCTATGAAGACATATGATACTGATTAGTCATACAACTTAACAATCGTGTACAGACTTTTGTGCCAAGCAATGAGTCACATATATTGTGTGAGCGTTAACAATACCACTTAGCTACCCACACCTCGGTAGGCGAAGTTCAAACTCGTGATCCAGTTGTGGAAAGCCAAGTGCCTATTTCAATGAGTCATAGCTACATCAACCATATGATGGCTTCTGCAGCATGCTATGAGCCACATCCATTGCGTTAGTTTTAACGATTTTATCTCGGTGGATAGAAGATTGATCGAATCAGTACTCATTGGTTAGAAGTAACCTGAAAGACAGCTGGTACTTAGAGCTAGACTGGTTGAAAGATTTATTTCTCAAGGTCTTATCATACTCGAAACGTTTGTTGGATAGTAAGTAAGACAGAAAAAAGTTAGCATGATAGTGTGAATAACTACGCTATGATGGAGGTCTGCGGACGAAGTTGTACTGCCAACTAGACGTGCGCCAGCACTAAGGCGTTTCTCGTGCATGACCAGCAGTTCATCCTGATGCTGCTTCCCTGTGGGAAACTGGGATTAGAAAAGGTCGGTTCCAAAAGTAACACAGTACACCCAGTTTGGCAGTATTTCGCTGGCGGTGGTGTAGGCTTTCTAGCTGCACTTAGGATGGAAAATTTAATTTTAAAATCCTAAAAAGGTTGTGTGACGGGCCTTAAGCAGATGTTGTGTGAGCGCTGTGGTCAATCAAGACTGGTCCTTTTTCGTGTTCATTCACAATACAAAACAAATTTCACAATGTGAACCACCGAGAAGTACTGACCGATAGAACTCTTCCAGTAGTATACAAAATCAAACAGCATAATCTATTTTGCTTACCGGTCTCCTCTCCTATCTTCACTTTTTAGCGTCAAAATCCACTCAGCTACCTTGTAGATATTCGTGCGATATGCAATGAGTCACATCTAGTGTGTGAGGGTTGATGATACTACCTAGTTTCCCAAACCTCGGTAAGTGGAATGGTATTCGAACCTATGACCCGCTGGTTGAAAGTCAACTCCCTAAACCAATCAACCACAACTCCACTTTCTGATGTAAATATTATGTCTTTAACAACTTCCTCCATTTCTCACCCTGAGACAATTATTAATAACCCAACCCAGAAAAACACCATTTCTAGTCGTTAAACCTATGCTGCTAATTTCATATTGAAGCTTACGATGTCCGAACCCTATGCGAAATCACGCAACAGGCATCGGTTGTGAAAGCTCTGGAATCTACAGCCATGTGTGTATGTTGCTTGTGAGACATGCGTACAGGAAACAGGTGTGGTTATTCACCTGACTTCATCTGGCCAATGCGGTGAATCTGCGAAACTTACTTTGTAAGTGTCCAGAGAGTTCGAGGACTAGCTGGTGTGGGTATAGCATTGGGTTGTAGAGCAGTAAGGTGCACTTGTCTGCTGATATCTACTCGATAGCCGTCTATGTGGTCGAAGCTTAGCACAACATGAGCACCAACGGATGCGTAATGCAAAATAATAAGGCAAGATTTAGAGGACAAGAAAATTGAAAGACAAAATGGAAACAAAAATAGGAGTATTCTCAAGTATACAACCAAAGAGGCATTAATTACCTTGTTTTTACTTCTCAGTGGTAGAAGACATGCCTAACGCATGTCTGGGTTACCGAGGTTGATTTTTAAAGATGACTACATTAAGTGAATGACGATATCCACCAGGCCGAAACACATGCTGCCTCACTTCGGCACTACTCAAATGCTGTTTCCATCGGATATGAGCGAACCTACAGTGATAGTGGTGATCAAACGCGCAGAGTTGTCGAACATCCTCAGCTAGAATAGACCAGGTTTCATATGTATGAAGAAGTGCGCGCACTGACAGATTGCATACCACACCTTTTACAGCAAGGTTAATAGTATAATGGTGCCAAAGGTAACTTAGATTAGTGTATGGGGTTTTGGCTTTTGACATGAGGTTGAAAGACAAACCAGTCACACCCCCACCGGTAATCACACAAATACACAGACAAAATTTTCAATGACTTACAGCGACTCACCACCAAGGGTGAGTGTAGGTGCAAGTTCCTGTCAATCTTGTAAAAGCACTTTGCACATAGACGCTGTGAAGCCTATAACATACTTACGGACAATAACTGTCAACTGACTAAGTGTGATCTGAGTAGGCTGCATTTTGTTGCAAAGTAAGACAATATCATCCGCATAATGGAGGTCAAAAAGTCATTCACCTGCGACAGGTCTACACCATCACATACTTCCTGTAGAATTGTCTCTAGAGTATCACCTATGGTTAAGTTAGGTAGGAGCGTTAGGACTGCGCAGCCTGCCTAACACCACTGATAGTTTGGAATAATAAAGATAGGTGACTGTGGGCTTTTACTCTACTCTGAATTAAAAAGCCTCCAAATATCACTGATCAAATTAAATAAGAATGGAGTGGATACGTTTTATGGACAACATTCGATGTAAACAACTCACCTGATACTCCCATCATAGGCCCTAACATGTTCATGGGTGCTCAAATATAGAGCCTTTAGCAGCGATGCACTTGTCTGTCACATCTCCAGTGACAGACATTGCCATAACACCTTTCGATCGAAGGAGTCGAATGCCACCCTCAAGTCAAAAGATGCAGCTGGTATCTGGTGTTGGTAAGTGTGCCACCGTTCCAGAACCTGACGGAGGATGGATATCTCGTACATACACTGAAGACCAGGTTTGAAACCTACCTGATTTTCTTGGGATTACTCTTTTCGAGCTCCACTAAGGCTTCTAGTGATTGCATAACCTACAATCTTAGGCAGTATTTTCGTCGGATTGATTCCCTTATGATCATTACAAGATTTCTCACCTTTCTGGAGGAAGAGGAAAGTAGGTGATTCAGATCAGTTAGAGATCATTGTATCTAATTCCCATACACTAGCTAACACTTTAGTTACTCCAACCAATGATTCTCGACCACGGTCCTCAAAATACCTCTGGTACTGGCTCTTTAGGGCCTACTGCTCTTTATCGTTCCCGGTTACTGAAAACCTTATCAACTTTCGCTAGAGTCGGTCGGCCTATATTAGTGTTCCATTCAGGATCCCAATGCATAGCGGGTGACCGAAGAATAGCTGGAGGTCAGCTGAACTGTTCCTCGAAGTGACCCCCCAGTGGTCGCAGTCGTCTCCCTCGAGAGTGGATCACAGAACCATCCTTCTCCGTCAGATCCTTACCTACCATTCAGTTATTTGGCCCAGTTTTATTATTGTTTCAATAACTGTCTACTACCATCCATCGCTACAGGAACTGTGGCTCATTGGTTTAGGGAGATGACTTTAAAGCAATGGGTCACGGACTCGAGCTTCACTCCCCCTATTGAGCTTTGGGTAGCCAGGTAGCTCTCACACAACAGATACGACTGATTACCTAATGCACGAGTGTGCACGAGGTTGACGAGTGCAGTTCAAAGTACTCACCTATCGCAGCAGCCTTATCCATCTCCTTAGACTTCGTTACCCACCACTGCTCGCGGTACTGTACACTTTTTCAATCTACATTCGGGTTTCTTGCCATTTCTCATCGTATTTGGAGCCAGCAGGAATGCATTTATGCGCACTCATTATTTCGGAAGCTGCTGAGATCCACTGGCGTTTTCGAACCTCGTTCTGAGAGTCGACACAGACAAAAACAACACAGAACCTAGTACACAAGTGCATCAGTTTCAGTCAACACCTCACAGTAACATACAAAGAATAAGTGGATAGAAAAAGACTGATATCAAAGTAGAAGAAAATAAAAATTAGGATTAATCAGAATATTGAACCTTTGTAAGACGTTAAAGAGTGAATACATATGCGAGATTGTGACCAAACTTCAGCAGTTTACCAAGCGTTTCCAACTACTGATGCTTATTATTTCGAGTAGCACAACCAGATAGTCTACACCCTTCTAACCAACAGTCGCAGACTTCATCGGTTGGTGCTGTATCTTGGTCTGGTCCCAATGAGCCTTCTTTCAGTCTAATCCAACTTCCCCTAACAGAGGACGCCGAGGTAGACGGTAGCTCGGCATGCGCAAGTGTCCAGGCCGATGTACACCGTGTCAGAAAACGACTCCTTTTATGTCTGAAGTTTGTGCTGAGCAAAAACAGATGGTTGTCTGAGCAGTTATAGCGGACGATAGTCGTTGTTTTTTCTGCTGGGTTTCTGAAAATACCACCTGAGTGCTTTTCTCCCTGGAATAGCCTACTAAACTGCACATCAATATTGCCTGCTTCGACGACCACTTCTGTACGTTTAGCTTTCAGTAGGAGACTAGACAGTTTTCGATAGAACTTATTCTTCACTTTATCCGAACTCCAGTCGGTGCGTAAAGAGAAATTACAGAGTTTGTAATGCACCGTTTATTCGAACAGTGCACAGACGACTATCAACAAGGATACAGTCCAGCAGTTCACCTTTTCGTCTTAGCACTTAATGTAAGACCACAAGAACTAGCCATTGAATCACCAGAAACTGGAAGGATGGATTTTGCAGATTCGCCGTATTGGCCGGATGAAGTTAAGTGAATAACCGTACTTGGACCCCGTAAACGTATCTCGCAAACACCACACATCAATGGCCAAAGATGCCAGAGTTTTGGCTAGCGAAACATGTTAGGCGATTTGACGGAGGGTGCGGACATTAAAAACTCCAGTGTGTAGTTCGGTGCATGGTTTCACAAGACCAGTGACGCTGTTTTGTGAACTTAGATCGTCAGCAAGAGCTGCAGAGATGAAAGCAATCAAAGATAATGTAGGAATATTGACCGCGAGATGTGAGAGAAGACTAGGAGTCAAAGATGTGCGTAGTTCATAATGATCTGAAGAAATTTGAGTGGTGACACAGTTGTGAGGGTGATCGACATTTTACAGCCGCCCATATCATAGAAGGCTAATTCTTTTTGAGGTAGATAGCAGAATTTGTGTTAGTATTGGTGGCGAGTGGCCACAGAGCTCAAGAGACACGTTTCAACTTTGTCACACACACAGCCTTGTTGGTTTAGCTTTGATTGACTTAAACCCAGCTAGATGACCCAAACCATCAAAGTCGGAATACCGCAGGATGAGGGACATCTGTCCCCACCAGCATAGTATATTAAGTCATTGTGATAAGCAAGCAAGATCACTACGTCAAGGTAGCAGCTGCAGTTATCAACCCACGGAAAAGTGTGGTGCATAGTTTAGCACATAAACGCGTAACAAGATGGGTTATATTATTATTAACACTGTCAATGACCCTCCATTGGGTTTGAATGTCTCAGACTAATTTCTAAATTCTTCCCAAAAACGACCTTAGGTCTGATGATTGTAAGATTAGGTAGTTGGCTCCCAATAATTCGTGGGCTAGAAACCCGCCACACCTACCCAGGTTTTGGCAACCAGTTAGTGTCATCAGCCTTTACAAAACGCAATTGAACGCGGTTGCCGAGTTACACCTTGTTTCAATCAGTGCCACGGATACAAACACTTTCATCTGCCATATTCTTGAGGAATTGCGTCAGCCCAAACGGATCGAGACTTGGTACCAGTCGATGAAGACTCTTAATGTTGGTTTGAGTAGTGTGGGAAGATGTAGACTGTCTTGTTGGAGTCCCCGACACGAGAGAAATCAGTGGTTAAGGAATGACTCTTGGTGACATGGCTGAAAATCGGTCACAATGGAGCAAATGTGTTTGCTCGTTGATATCTTCAAAAGTTTGAATATATGGAATAACCTTTTTCAGATTGTTTGTTCTCTCACTCTACTTTATCTTCTTTGATATTAGTTTTTTCCTATCCATATGTTATTTGTAAACTACTGTGAAGTATGGTAACTTGAGCCGATGCACCTGTGTGTGAGGTTTTACAGTGATCCTGTCAGTCACTTCGTGAAGTGGCTGGAAACTAGTCACAACGACGCAGAATTATTCACTCTCTGATGTCTTCTAATGTTTGAATGTGTTTACTAACCTTTCTCTAAAACAGTTACGACTCTAGGGATATCAAGACTCGTAAAATGACTGTGTTGAACTACCTTCAGACAGATATCTACTGGACTCTCTGTTATATTTTACAGACTGTGTGCGATCCACTTTCGGCTATTTACTTGATATTAGGTGGCCAATATGATGGACCTACAGTACTCACTGTACGGTATTGAAAGGTTCAAGGAGTATTTGTCTTAACTAGTGTTGAAGATGATCAACGGGAGACTACCTATCTTATTGGAGAGCTTGGTTGGACTTTAAACAACGTGTTACTTTAAGTGTTTTCAACTTCTTGAATCTAGTATTCATGCTTTAAGAAAGCATGTCAGTGCTTGGACTGGAAGTGGTTAGGTATTATGTGACATAATAATGCTCCTCTTCTTGAATCAGTCTAGAGTATCCTAAGACTTTACAGGAAGAAACGACTATAGGGTTTATTCTTAGAAAAAAGTAGTGAGACGTTTAAGGCTACGTATTGCAAAGTTAGGGAAAAGTGTAAATAAAATATTAGGTCCAAAAAGGTAACTTTTGGTTGATTACCAGGTTTGTTCAAAACGGTTGTTCTAATATACTAAAGCAGAGCAAATGTAAGGATAGAGTCACATATGCTTAAAGTTGTCTTCAACTATTTCAGTGATTTCTCAGTAGATGGCAACGTCATTGCTTCAACCACCTTGACTAAAAAACCCCACTGATGGCGTCAGTCAACATTACAAGGAAAGGAGTCTTTTGGCTACTAAGCAAAATTAAACGTGGAATCCCCCCCCAGGCTTCGATGTATGGCATCCAAGGCTGTTATTTTCATTGACAGGCGGCTTGCCGAGCTATTCTGTTCCCTTACGTCGAACTTAGTTCTCGAGAGAATGAGGAGACGTCATGCCCAGTTCAGTATTCAGGGTAGGTAACAGGTGACTGGTATCGAGATATAGCCCTAACTAGTATAATTATTAAAGTATTCTAAGCTCTTCCAACAAACTAAAGGAATTCAACAACAGCTGCCTACGCTCGATGCTGAAGATCAGATGACCAGAAAGAATAAGCAACAAGGAAATCTGGCTGGCAACGAACCAACCAAGAACCTACTAGTCGACAAATATGTAGAAGAAAGTGGAGTTGGATTGCGTACACACTGAGAAGGCCGACTGGGGACACCACGCGCCAGGCCCTCGAGTGGAATCCAAATGAGAAACGACGAGTTGGGCTTGTAAGGTGAGGGTGACATGGAGGAGATCGTGTGAGGAAGAAATGAAAGCTTGTGGGCAATCGTGGAGCGAGGTTCAAAAGACTTCAGAGAAAAAAGTGGAATGGAGGCGTGCTGCTGAAGCCCTATGTTCCACTAGGAACCCAAGGGAAAAATAATAATAATAATAAGTGATAGAGTGCTGAGACGTCAAAAACAAATCTTCTCACTTCGCTATACGGCTTTTGCTCTGGAATTTCTAGTTTAACCAACTTCACAGAAAGAGAATGGTTAGCACCATGTGATAACGTGCTGGTAGTGGATGCTATGTTTATTAACTTCAGTAAGACTCGATAGGGTTTCGCACATTAGGCTAATGAAGCTCTCTACTTTTGGATTTGACACTAAGAGGCAGACCTGGACTAAAGGATTTCTATTTAATAAAAGAGAAAGAAGTGAGTGTGAATGGAACACTATTTCAGCGACAACCTATGAGAATTGGAGTTTTTCAGTGGATGATCATGGGTCGTCTTCTTGTCCTTATATATCTCCACGAACTAGACGTGATGCTATTTGCTGACGATGCAAAAATATGAAAGGTTATCCGTAGTGGGATAGGCAGATATGCATTAAATGAATTATTGCAGTAGTCCAAGCATTGGTGCCTAGGAATTTATTCGATCAAATGTGAAGCTATGCATATCGATCAAAGCAGTTAACAACTGTTTATAATGGGTGGAGTACCAGAACCTGTCGTCTGATAAATGAAGCGTTCGGAGTTGATCATCAGCTTTGACTTGAAGATGCCTGCATACTGCGATGAAACGATGGAGAAAAGGTTACAGATACTTTGTTCTCTTCTCAAGATTTCCGATTGCTTCAGTGAAGATGTGTTTCGGATATTGTAAACCAGATTTGTGCGACTCCACTTTGAATAATGCATTTAAGTTGCCAGTCTCAACGTCATAAAAAAATGTAAAGGCACTCAGACGGGCGTTCGAAGAGTCGATACTAGGTCGATGGCTCGTTAATATCACTTACGCTGAAATGACTATTTACATAGACTGAATATTTCCATTATATTATCGTAGGTACAAGAGTAACATAGTACTAGCCTTCTGCATCCCTAACAATGATTTTGGGATTCGTAAATCGTATATTTCCTCACCCACAAGGATTGATTATCTCTGAGGCCATTGCAATAAAGTTCAATAAACCAAAGTCGAACAAACTTGACGTCTACCTACGCCTCTCCAAGTGATCAATGACTGGAACTCGTTACTCAAATGCACTGTATAAGCACTTTAAATGAACGCAATCAATGAGTAGCTTCATCTTCACAGAAAAATTTACTGCAAGGATCAACATAGACTATCATTGTGACTGAAGACAGTTCATGGATACAGCATAGGAGTAAATTCATCCACGAACAGTGTCAGTTAACGACGGTGCACTTTGGCAGCCTTGCATGAACCTAATAGTGTGCAGAGATATACATTTCTTGATCGAAAGTCAACTAAGTGGTAATTGATAGTACGCCTAATGACCCCAAGCAGCGAGTAAAGAGAAGATGTACCAGACTTGAGGATTTTGGGTTTTTTAAAAGACTGACCGACAAGTATAAGAGCTACAATGACCCAATGCACCAGTTTCATAGTTTCAAACGCACAAAACTTAATGAGGAGATTAGACAACCATTCCGAATACCCAAGGAAATCCCGAAAAACCCCTATTTATTATCAGCATACACACCTGTAGGACACATACATACCTATGTCAATGAAATTCAATATTGTAAACACAAATAATCTTTTGACAATACGACCCTCATAACTTAGCAATAGCTATGTGTTTAGTACTGTCTAATTCATGCCCTGTATAAAGAATCTTGGCTCACCTTATCATCGAACTATAGTCTCATGATTCACTGCTAGGAAAGAAGGCTGAAAACCTGAATTTACATTCCAAAAACGAAACATAATCTCCTTCGTAGTGTACTATTTTGAGCAACCGCTGGTTTAATGCTCAATATTCGGCATTAAAAGTGTGAAGACAGAAAGCTGATCGTTTTGGATCTTTTCTTGGGTCTCAGGTCTTGGTTCTTGATGGCGCATGTATGGAAATTTCCTCTGATTTCCTGTTTTTGACCCCAGGGAGATGAGTGTTTTTGTAGGTTGAGTTTATGGGGAGGTTATATGTCACTGAGAAGATAAGGTGTCCTTCTTAACTCCTTTCTGGATATCTGTTCAAATGGGCAAAGGTATACGGGGGGTTGTAGAAAGTTATATATAGACCATGTGGGTTTACTTACTCCAGAAGAGTTATAAGACAATGCAGATGTTTAAAAATACCGAAAGACGGTGAGTAGTAAATAAGAATAAACCAGCACTTGGCTGCTAGGGTCAGCCATGTTATGAGTGCGTTTCCAGTAGGTCTTATGAAATAGAGCAACTGTCTAAGCCTCTGCAGAGTGGGTCTACTGGGGGGGGGGGCTGTGGCTACATCCAACGGTGGTAAAAGATTCCATAGAACAAATACTCCTAAGGAGAAAATGTCTGACTTCGCCCTTGTTTTGACTCTCTAATGTGCCATTCCGTCGGGTTCCCCATTGGTGGACGCCGTGGTGCAGGTAAGGTTAGTCTGTTTGCTTGACTTGCCTGATGAATGGTCTTGTAACCCACGATAAAGCCACCCCGTTTCAGCTATGGTCTAAAGTGATTGGGATTCAATGCCGAGCTCTTTTAGGGTATATCTTCCATTTTTGTGTGGCGACTGTACCTTCTCAGGAAGACTAGAGCCTCTCGTGAGTGCCAGGGGAGCCTCTTATTGGCGACTTCGGTATGCGGTTATATTTCGGAATTAAAAGCCACTAGAAACGGTTCAGGGGCACAAACGTAGAGCCGTCAAGGCGGGATATGTAAAGCTGCATTCTCCTTAGTTGTATTTCCCTTGTAAGTAGTGACAGTGTTTTGAGCATCAAAGAAGTTGAGTCTCAGATTTGCATTCGAATTCGGTCGTTCTTTATTTGTGGACACTAATTCGCATTACCTTGAGCATTTCCAGGCTGAAGCTCAAGGCGTTTTCTGACGGCCATAGTTCCTGCTGTCGCAAGTCATTTCGTAGTAGTCAGCAGTTGACCTCTTTAACAAGTTGAAGGTACGCAGGCAACCATTCCATAAACCACAACCAGCAATCTGAAACGCTGTTTCCCTGTTAATGATTCCTCAGAACTGATCTTCTATGAGGCTTCCCAGTGATGTGGACACCGCTAGGAGTAGGATGGTCAGTCTGTAGGTGTCAGGATGTTTTTTGCCCCCTCCCCAGAAAACGAGTAACGAGGTCGATCGATTCCGATCTTTAGGGAGTTTCCATAACTGTAGGTCGTCTTTGTGAGTGTCTCGGCGCGTATCTATAGGATTACAGTCCCATGTCAAGGTAACCAGAGGACTCGGGCGGACGAAGCCAGGATTATTTTTCTGAGCTTTGCTCTATGTAATGAGGATGAGCTAGAGTCATTTGTTTTCGCCAATCCGACCAGTGTCGTTCAAAACTGGTCCAGATTTGGTGTCGAAGTTACTGGACTGCACTTCAAGGCGTGGTCTCAGAAGCTATGCCATTCCAAACTAGCTAGAACATCTCAATCCATTCCGCTACAAACTCCTAGGGGGAATAGGCCTTCGGCCTGGATCACCCTACTTTTGGTCTGGCTTAAACGGGGTGTCAGTCTTTGATAAGATGACAAAGCCTACTTATATACACATATACATAACCGTATATATATATATATATATATATATATATATATATATATATGACCATGTAACGCCAAGTAACAAAATGGATTTCGATTGTCGCTAAACATTCTCATATCACGTTTCCTCATATTTATTCATACTGTCACTTGGACAAGACGTGATGTTAAAGAATCGTGACGAAGTATCATGATGATTTGTGTCTACCCGAAATGCAAGGTCATAGAAACCGGGACCAAAACAAGTGTGTATGCTTCTAGTTTTGCTTTTTAGTAGACAGGAGTTTTAACATAACTTTTCTGGAACTTCAGCATTAGACAACTAAGTGAATGTAAGTCTTGCTAGTTCACACCAAGATGGTGTTCTGTTAGTGGAATCTATGATAGTCATCACTAGTATTGAAATCATTATCCGTGCTTGGTTATTGATGACTGTCTCGTGCTTGTTTACTTGATTCATGAGGCACATTTTCAGGTACTTTTCGTTGATTTACCTGCTCCCAACATTCTGTTTGGATCAGCTCAAGGCTGGGCTGCGAAGTGACCACCTGTCCTTTAACTGCCTACCAGAAACATTTATTCCCTGATTTGATTCTCGTGGTCAGAATTCTGGTCCCACTTCGTTGAGAATATTCTTGTAGATCCTCAGGTATTTAACAGCTCTATTCAGTTAACTGCCTTCTGCTACGTGGTATTGTGTTAGGAAAATCTTTGCACTATATAGTTGCCAAGCGTTATTTTTGAGGTACTTTTTAATTTTGATATTACTTGTAGTTGTCTAACGTTACCGCCGATTTATCACGTCAAATCGTGTTTTGATATTGTTGAAATATAATCTTTGACTGTGCCTGACTCAAGGAAGTTTGAGAAGTTGTGCAGTAGAATGCAGTAACTTGTCTCAATAACACTAACGTGGTTCGGCTGAACCGTTTCCCAAGTTCATACCGAAATACTTGGAATATGGTCGTAACAATTTGTCCACATAATCATGTAATTTGAAGTGAATGTCTAACTTCAAACTTTCCTCACCCTCGAAGTGTGAAATTAGAAATGGTTTTTGTGGTGCAAAGACATATAAGTTGGGAAATCTGTAGTCCAACGACGGTGGCTTTTACACATAATTTCACCAAAGACCTGGGACCGTTCTGAAAGACCTAGAAGCAAGCGTGAAGATATCAGTTAGTTCACACCAGCTCTTAAAATGATACCATATGTTGGAAGTGTGCAGCATTACCGGTGAGGTATATCCACAGGAAGTTTTCTTCGATTAGATAAAGTGATTTTGAAATCTGTTGTGTAGCATGACCGTGAGTGCCGGTAAACAGCATGTGTCATGCAAACTTAGCGTTGCGTAGCTGACATCACTGATCAATGTTTCGTTCATATAATCTATGGGACGAGATTATCTTACAGCGATTTCGCTTAGTGTCTTCATTTGGTGTGGTTCTCCCTACTTAGTCGCTAGACTTGATACGCGGCATGTCGAGTTAACAGACTGCGCTACACTGGGCGTGACAGTACTAGCCTACTGCCTGTAAGCTGACTCGTTGTAATCGTTCGCGGCCTCATCATAATGTGAATTTATAATGAACATGGTGCATTCTGTAAAATATCTCGTTGTTAAGACCTAACATGCTTTTCGTGCAGTGAAAATGTAGTTGGAAGGTTGAAGGAGGATGTTGGGTTACCACGAGTCTTAAGTGTACAAGTATGTACACATGTGTCTCATATTTACCTTTCTGTAATATGGGTTGTCTTATGGCTAATCATGTAGACTTGTGGTAGCAGTCTGCAATAATCCACTGTCTGTTATTATTATTGTTATTTCATTGGCATGGGGAATGAGATGTTGCATACATCAGAGCATCTGTGCTCCCTGAAAAAATTATTGCATGTATGCTGCTCAACAAAGCATTGCAAAGGGATACAGTGAACTTTCTGTTAGCCCCTCATTTACTTATTGGTGAGGGGGAGCTGAGAATTCATTCCGACACTGAGCATTTGGAATAAAGGTACCCGAAATAGTTGACGTGTGAGAGTGAAGAAGCCAGCTTTCGAAGTATTTGTACGATAATACAGAGAGTTCCTGATGATGTGAAGTCCGTGGAACTCCATAATGACGAGGAATTTGGTAAGAGATATGTGCGATTTGTCAGTGCAATCACACAAAACTGTGGCTTGTGATTTTTAAAGACGATGACCACAGTTATATTTCTTGAATGTCCACACAAAAGCAAGGAAAGGGAAACTGTGAACATTTTAAATTCCAACATTGACTCCAACGGAACCGTTTACATCGTATTACATTGGGCGTGCTTGACTCAACCCAAGGAGAGCAAACATGCTGGTCAGCTGACTACACGAAGAACCATCAAGTCTTCCCGGGTTATCCACGTACCCATAACCTTGTACGATATAAGTGGTTTCCTTGCATCTGGTAGAAGGCCACTAGTAGTTGTAGACTGGCAAAATCACAAGGACATCTGTAACGGTTGCACCATAAAAATCACAAATGACAGGGTAAACTATCAGGCGCATCCCTGTAAAACTCTGTTGGGGTATAGCTGGGGTATTGTGCTTACTGACTGAATGGAAGAGTGTAGTTCACTTAGTATACAGGATCCCAGATTCTCCACACCTACTTCGAGGCGCCAAACATTTTAGCTCAGGAATCCGGAAACAACTTCTGTTGAGCAGAGGGAGCCCATCCACATTTTTGCTTGGATTTTTAAAGGCTTTTGACGGGCTGAATCAGGATATTCTGTATAAGGAACTTCAGCTTGTGGGCGTACACCAAAAGCAACTAAGTTGGTGTAGATATTACCTTTACACTAGGCAGCAGTCATTTAGAATTGGCCCCCCTGTATCTAACCGGTTCCCGATGCTGAGTGGTATGACTCACGGTTCCTCTGTTGTTTCTTTACTGTTTCTAGCTTTTGTCATCTGCAACCACATGGGATAACGATAGAGAAATAAACCAGCATATGAAGTTGTCCTAAATTCCCCTGTGTGTATTCCAAGTGACATGACTACTGGAATAATTCAAGGGGGTAGTTTCCGAAATGGTTTGCTTCGCTGTCGTCACATATCTTTCGAAAGCCTAGCTGATGCACTGGGTCTTTGTAGCAGGCCGCATAGGTTACATCTGAGGCGTCAAGTGTATGTCTTCGTAAAACGAAGAGGTTAATGGCAAAGCAAACCCCTCCTAATGAACTTTGTGCATATGCGGCCCGCGCTTATCGTTTTTCCTAATGACTGTATGTAAGCGTATA